AGAGCTAGCCTTGTCCATGTCTTTCTTTTTCCTGAGACCATATGTGACAACGATAAGCCTGAACTTTTTTATTGCCAAATAACACAATTCCGAATGCTTCATTCCCATCAAAAAGCGCATAAAAGGAAGTACTGCCAGCACTGAAAATTTTATCCTTTTAATACAAGCAGTTGTCAGTGGAATTACACAGTGGTTTAACATAAAGCCTTAATCAGCATCTTTCAAGTAGAACCGTCCTCAAACCAACATGCATCAAAACACTAAACAAGTCAAAATGCAACTATAGAATAGCTATTATTGCTAACGGTAATTGTTAACTTGTGCAACTGAGTGATACTTAATATTATGCAGATTTTTTAACTGAGGTATGATCATAAGAGTTACATGCTAAAAACATACTTAATGCGTTAGCAACTATCTAGCATCATGGCAGTTTTGCTACTCACATTTTATTGTGAAAATCTAGTTCCAATCAAGTTCACGTTTGTAAACAAATTATCAGCATATCGTTGTGCTAAAATAGCTATTAGCTTAACAGCACTTGAGCTACTCTACTCCCCTTCACACTATATAACTGATGATACAAGATCCAGGTGACAGATTGAGGACCGTAACGAATCAAGATTTGGATTTGTCAGTGGAACAGCCCCGGCTCGATCCCAAAGCTCTTCCTCTGGTTGTTTATAATAAAGCTCTGGTGTGCTAAAAAGAAACGAGTATGATCAATAACAGCTGCTAGTGGTGTAGATGATCAGCCTGACACATTACATAAGACTAGCCATAAAAATGACCAATAGGGGCCAGTCTCATGGGCACAGATTGATTTCAAGTCTAAGGCTAGACAAGATTAGCCATTAGCAAGGACACGAAGTGGAAAACCTAGCCTTAACTCTGATTCTGTCACACACACAATCTGAAACCAGAGAGGAGGTGGAAGATGATTTTTGCAAGTTATAAGTGAATTGCACTTCAAAGTCCATGTTAGCAGGGGAACAAGGACCTACTGGAGAGACAGGTAGTCAAATGAAATCCAAATTTAAAGTGGCACTCGATGGATTTTATCTTATTTTACACTCCTCTACTCTGTCATATCACGTTTTCCCTTCTTCTATCTCTCAATCACTCTATTTTTCTATCATTTTATCTGCAATCGGCTGTCTCTCTTTCTCGTCTGACTCTGTGGTTAAAGCTGTGAGCATGCCTAGCAAACCGTAGGGTAAAAAAAGTCAAATTACACCAGGCTGAGAACATTTTATAAAAAGACACAGCAGCACATGAATCTTTATTATTTATTATATTCCAGAATACTGAGCACTGTCTGGTTTTTAGGCGACATTTCGTCCAAATGTGCTTGCGCGTCTGAACAGATGAAGCAGTCCACACGTGTAGGCACACTTTTTTTTCTCTCTCTCGCTACTCACACATACACACAAGCAAACAACCTCCCTGCATGAAATAACCTTCCCTGATTTCATTATTCGTCAAATAGGAAGAAATGAGATGGAGAATTGGCACCCTTTTCACAAGACATGTTACAACACTGTCACCAAATGGTGAAGTCATATAATTACACCTTCTGTTTCGATCACACAGTAGAAAAACACACACACATACACATAGAGAGAGAGAGAGAAAGCACTGAAAATCTGATTAAGGTCGGCTCGCCTTGGCAGCCCGTGTCTTTATTTATTTATCTCAGTAAACACACGCTCACTTTATTCTGGGAATGTGAAGCGTAGCATAATTAGCAGAACATGGCTCCCTAATTGGGCTTTAATTGATATGAAGAGTGTCGCCAGGGCTGAGGCCTCACGTAGCAACACATGCTGAGCAAGTGGGCGTGGCTTCACTGTCAATCAATCCCACTGGCACGGCTGATGAGGAGTCATTAAAATGTCCGCCTCCGACCAATTACTAAGTGAGCTTTGGTTCCCAAGCAGAACAAAAGGTATATTTTATTTTAGGACATATGTTTATAGCGCTAGAATGATGCAGGGATATACAAAATCAGGATACATTTCAATGTTTCATCCTCTGCAATGACTCAGCTTAATTTAGTAACTAGTTTCTGCCAAACCACCACAGTTAGCAATATGCTACATTCCATTTAAAGGCGGATGTGGGATATTCTGACTTGATATCTCCGAAGCTCAGAAAAATAAAAATAGATATGATATAAATCAACACAATGGCATCGCTAGCACTTGTTTCGCAGGTGTACCTACGATTACCAACATAGAAGATAATTTACTGTTTTACATGCTTGTCTTCGTGAATGTTTGCTAAATTGGTTATATCACAGCAGAGCATAGGAACTTTGACTCAGTCATGCATTTAATTTGATTAAAACAGGATTTTTAATCACTGAATGGAGTCATATGATTAAAGAAACAGGCCTGAAAAAGGGTTTTGTGATATCAGCCAAAAAGGAAGGTTGTCTAAGTGGGAAGCAGTTTTAGAAACTGAAAAAAAAAACATGATCATGCATTAAAAGTACATTTTGATTTGAAGTTGACTGTGTAAATGTTACCCGAGTGCTGCATCTCAATGAAGTTTGCAGTCCGACTTCAAGTGCAGTTACTCTTTCAGATGTATTTCTGATTTACAAGTCAAATGGAATGCAGCATTAACGCACTGTAAAACAATAGCTCCATCCCAACTAGCACACTTCCTTAAATAGTAAGCAAGCCACATTTGAATGTCCCAAATGTTAAAAAAAAAGAATGCCAAGGGTATCAAAAGTCTGCATGCTTTTTCATCAATTATTTCCCACGTGTACTACAAATGGAGAGGTTTGTGAAGATCCTTTCAGCTCTCTATTGAATTTTTAAAAAATTGTTTAAAAACATAAATGAATGCTAAAGCCGTTTTAACTTATGAACTGTTAATTCTACCACTAACATGCAAACAGTATGCGACAGAAATATCATTTTCTAAAATCTCATTTTCTAACGGTTTGTTTCTATATAAGCAAGCTATAAGTGAAGTGCACTACAGAGTGTTTTTTTTTTGCAGGGGAACAAGGACCTGCTGGAGAGCTGGGTAGTCAGTTATAAGATTTTTTTTTTTATTGATGCCAGTGGTGGCTAATACCAAGTATTATTGTAGGAACTTTGGATGTGCCCTACGGTAACCATGGTAAGTTTTTGTAAAGGGGAATCAGAAGTTCATTTTGACCAGCATTTGCCCTGCCCAAAAGGGACATTTCAGGACAGGCTAAACTTAGCTGTCTTTTAAGTGGAAAAAAGAGGTCCTCACCTGGGAACAAACAATCGTAAATAACACTAAAAAGTGTACACAGCAGAAAAAAGGGCACACCTGCATGTCAGCATTGTGTGGACAGCCGAGTTCCTCTGAGAGCCGCGCTGCACTGAAATTCTCCTCAAACGATCATTTAAGTGGCCGCTTACGTCCAGGACACACACACCTTTCGCACAGAGCGGCTTTCATGCTCCCCTCGGGGGAGACGGGGATGTCAACTGGGGCGCTCTCAAGCTCCCCGCCGTCACAACCTTCAAGGACACTCAAGTTCTGTTCTGAGGGCCAATTAAGCGCTTTCCTGATAGTAAATTAAAAAACAGTTCTCTGTGGAATTAATAACAAACTCATTAGGCACTGCTAAAAGGACGGAACTGCCTTTTAATTAGACCTGCACCTGATTAATGCACAATTAACACAGCCAGTTCATTCATCTCATTTTGGGAGGTTCAGAAAGCTCTCAGTCTCATATTTTGTCTCCATGATAATGAAGAACATAATGATAGAGGGCATGACCTCAGTCTCAGAACACTACTGATGGTTTCCTGTATAATTTTAATGGTCTGCATACAGTGAGTTCCACGTCTGAGAACACTAGTGAAAATATTTCTAATGTGCATTTGTCTATTTTTTTTTTAAATTTACATTAAGTTCACAAATTTGTGTACTTTCTTTAGAAACCTAGACATAGTGCCGAATTAATATTTATTTTATATTTTTTACTCCAAAACCTGTTGTAATGCTGCCATCCATGGCAAACCAAAGAAAGTACTAAAATGTACATTTAAATAAAATAAAACTAATTTAAACTAAAAATATCAATTATTTGTTATATATTTAATAAAATGAGAAAATAACTGAAAGTTAAAAATTCAAATGAAAAACAAAAAATAAAAATTATTTTAAAAACATTCCTCCAATATGGTCTCAGATAGATAGATAGATAGATAGATAGATATGGACTCAACTTTATATGAAAACCATTTCATTTATTGGTTTAAAACAGTACAAAAAGTATAGTTAAATAGCGTTAAAAATACACGATAGAACACGATGCTCTTTGCACTATCGCCAGTAGAGAGCACTGTTTGCACTTAAAAAAGACATAAAAAACAAAACCAACTGCAGCACCATCTAGTAGTGTTGAATTCTGCATTAGCACCCGGAAGTCCCTATTACACTAAGTGTTAGCAGTATAAAAGTGCTCTGAATCAGTATTGTCTGCAAAATTGAGAACAAGCAGAACAATCTGGAATTAAATGATCACCACTTTTGGCAGTGGGAATTAGGGGAAAGATCAAGTGGATCTTAGAAGTTAATCGTTTTTCTATACAAGAACAAGTATGTTTCAAACTGTTTTTTTTATGTTTCAATAACTTTTCAAAAAAAAAAAACAACGTATATTTTCATTTCTTGAATATGGCACTAATGATTGCATTTGTAGTAGCATTACTTAAGCACTGCCCATTGCCATTATTAGTAATTTTATTGTAGATTTACCAATCAGATATAAACTATTTTAGTGTTTTTGTTGTTGCTTTTTGTTAATAATTTAGCATATTTAAAATGCATTTTGAAAAGCATTTAAGTTGACATCCCTGAAAGTCACTGTATAATTCACACAATAACAACTGCATGCAACGACTGAAAAGTTACAGAGAAATAGCCTCTCTGCAACTTCAAGATCCTTTCAGCTTTGTTTCACACTTAGATAGTGAACTCTGATAGTTCATTAACCACATTTTCGGGCATCCTCGTCCAAATACACCTGTGAAGCCACTGTCAAAGCCAGCACTGAACCTTATAACCAGTAGCTTTGTGTCTAGCATCGCGGAGAGCAGTTACAGGTTTCTCATCCAGGTCCTGGACCCCGGTTGTGAGGCATATGCTCAGCTCATATATTTGGCTAGAAGACCAGCGAGACCAGAGTCTCTTCTCTTGTGTATTTCCTTGCTACGTTCTTCCTCTCGTTCAAGGCACTGACAAATACCTCCTGAAGTCAGGATGAGACTTATGCTGTGAACGATGGCAATGCTCACTAAACGATCGCGCGTGTGCTACCTCCGGAGCCTTCCACCACATTTCGGCAGCATTTTTTAACTCTGGCAGGATGTCGGGAACCACAAACTTCTCTGCCAGGAAGACCACGGGCAGCACGGCCAATAGAGAAGCCCAACCCACCACTCCCAGCCAATAGGACGGGCCGAGTCGACTGACATCATCCCTAATCTCACCAATATGTTGATGGGTAAAAAGCGCCCAGCTGAGAAAAAAGAAAAAACCTGTGGGGAAAAACAAAATGGAGAAGGTTAAAACATGTGCATGTTACTTGGCTAAGGAAAGCTAAATAGCGAAGTACTGACCTGTAGGTACTAGTGTGAACAGCAGCAGGGTGGTCGGGTCGAGCGGCTGGCCTGCCATCAGCAGCGAGCGAGTGTTTGAGTAGGAACGCACCGTTTGAGACGTCCAGCAGAGGGCGAACATGAGACACAGCAGTCCAGAGCTCACAGACATCAGGAAAGCCACCACTGCAAACACTCTCTCAGCCTCCAGAGCTGTGGAAACCAGACACGGACAGAAACTCCTTTAATATTGATGAATGTGACACGGTATAACATGCTCCTTGGAGCCTAAATAAAAAAATTAAATAAAAAAAAAAACGTTGTCCCGATGATTATGTCCAGACCCAAAATTGAGCTTGGATTAAATTAGGCAATATGTCGATGACGATGATTCTCCACTAAAAACTATTATTTCTTTAAAAAATATATAATAT